AGGTGAGTGTGACTATTGTCGGCAGCCTCTTTTTCTTCGGCAACCTTCCCATTAGAACTGCGTGTTAACCAGCTGTTCTATTATCGGCAACTCGAAATCAACCCCATTTTGTAGTGCGTATGCTTTATTTGAAGAAAAATGTAGCATTACTGGATTGCTCGATCGTTCAAATATAATCAGATTGAAGCTGAAAGGCTAAACAATCGTTTGGACACACATTTAGGAAAGTGCGTTGATGGGAAAACATAGTGAAATTAACGTTTAAATTTAGGTTGCCGAAAACAGTCAATGGGTGCCGAAGCCAACATTTACCCTATTTAAAAAAAAAGGTAATTTAGAAATCCAAATGAGTTCTAGTTTGCCTGCATCAATTCTGTTATTAACATTCCCATTAATAAATTGGATGTATTTTATGATCATTTTCAGCATTTAATTTCTTCTATCTGCTGTTATGTTGCTCAAGATTGGTCGTATTACATCGTCGAATGCTAGCCTTCGCCACTCGTCGAGAGGACTTGGAGGATACACAGAAAACTTCTGAGTAGTCCCAGTATCTTCAGAAAAATGCAGGAATTTTCAAGGAGTTCTGAGAAAATTTGACATATTCAAAAAATTGCAGGAATGTTCCGAAATTTTCAGGAACATTAAAGCTTTAGGAAAGTTTTAAGAATATAAGGAAAAAATCCGGATTATAAGAAAATATAGGCATCTTCAAAGAAGTGCCAAAAACAGCAGGACAGTTCAGAAAATTTCAGATAAAATAAAAGATTCTACGGGAAGTTCCACGAGTTTCAAAGAAGTTTTGAAAAATTACGGGAAATTTAGGAAATTTTTAAAAAATACTTAGAAATTCAGAAAAGTCTAAAGAACTGTGAATTCTTTTGTGTAGTTCTAATAACATTAAGAACGCACATTAAACATCAGGAAAGTCTTGAATTTTGGGAAAGTTTTAAGATCTTGAAGAATTAGTGTCGATAATCTAAGGGCACTTCCATTAACTTCAGAAAAATTTCTAGAACTTAATTGAAAATTTCAGAATTATATGATTTATTTCGATCTTATTTCAGGAAAAAAAAAGTAGGAACCTTCGGAAAGTTTCTGACATTTCAGGAAAGTTCAGATTATTTCAGGAAAACTTGAAAACTTCACAGAAGTTCACAGAACGCCAATAAATCTATGTAAATATTATAGAAGTGCAGAATACGTTAGGGAATATCCGAGAACTTAAGGAATACAGTTTGTACGGCTTGCGATTAGCAGGGTTCAAACGAAACGCAACCGTAGATATGTTGATACCAAAAATGTAAAAAACCATTATGTAGAAGCGGTTAAAACTAAAAGTCATTATTTGCTGTGCGCGTCCCAAGCTGTAGGAAGTTCCTTGTTTATAATGATCTTTCAGGAGTATACATTTCTAATTCTCCTAGCATACTGGGAGTGTCGATACCGCCCAAAAATACTTTAGCAACGAACACTGCCTGAGCGATAATGCGTCTACGTTCTAATGTATCAAGGTCCAAAAGTTGGCAGCGATATGCGTATGATGGGAGATTGACAGGATCGTTCCATGGGAAGTGGCGTAATGCATAACGTTCGACGAAATTCATCAGCAATCTTGAACATAAATCCGAGTTGTCTATTAGCTTTAGCGATGATCTCAGCATAATGTAGCATGAATGTAATTCCCGGATCAAGCGTAATTCATAGATCGCGAACATTGTTCACATGTTTGGCTTAATTTGGAATACAGACACGAATTATCAGCTGCCAACTGTTGATGTTCTTCGTTCAAGTATATCTGCATCATGTGGCACTCTACTTCATGGTTTTAACCTACATGGCTTAGCGCAAATCAACACCGATTTAAATACGAATGCTTGATTGCTTGACCTTGCACTGGCGAACGAGCTCGCTCTCCCGGAAGCTAGGTATCTGAATTGATTGTCAACTGCCCAATGACCAATTGTGTACTATTACGAAGACCTCTTTTACAATCTGCTTGGTAAACTGCTCAACTCCGTCACCTCAAACGACTGAGATCAGCAGCCCTTCGAAAATACTGTCAAACACGAAACTCTTTAACAAAACAACGATTGGACAAGTAATTCTCTTAAGCGGCGCCGGTGGTGTAGTGGTAAGCGTAATTACCTGTCACCCCAGCAGGCCTGGGTTCAATCCCAGTCAGCGCCGCCGGGATGTTCTGAGGCATAACATCTCTTCTGATCACGCCTTCCTTCGCTTATGGCTGTTGTGACGGTTGGGACAAGCTCTTATAGCATATCCATTAACGCTTCTATACAGCTGTTTACTTGTTTGTGAACCATTTTCCCGGCTATCCAATAATCACTACACAGCTTTCTGTTGAAGCCGGGTTAAATATTGTTTACGCTATTTTTTTATGGAGGATTTTATTGAGTTTATTTTGCTGTGAAATCGAATTAATCGAAATTAGTTACAAGCACATCACCAAATTATTTACCCTGCACCGGAGGAACCTGGAATCGAACTCGAGACGACCTTGATACTACCAACTTCGCTACGCCAACACTTTGAATGACGTAAACAAATTTACATGCCCTTCCACAACAAGATCGCTGAGTAGTTGCTCTATAATAGTGCACATGAATCACTTTTCTCGACCAGTTACTTAGCCTTTGTAAAGGAGCAGAGTAAAAGCTATAAAACTGCACGCGTCTAAAAATAAACCTAGTTGACTGTAAAATAGCTTCCAAAGTAGCGATAACACAGTTCATTAGTTGAGTACAGGTTTTTTAATTGTTGAAGAAGCACTTTTGATGTTTATGTTATTCAGCAGGAGTGGTTGGTTGTATAGAAGACATCAAATAAGTAATATAGTCGGATTATTAGCTTTGTTTTGTAGCTAAAAGTTGAAAGTTGATCAATATTTGCATAGAAGTAGCATTAGCGTTTATTGGATGATGTTATTCAGTGCAACTGACAAATTGAATAATAGTTGTAAAAAAAGTTGAGTAATCGCTCTCCAAAACTATTTTGCTAACTTCTACTTGTAGCTGTATCTGCAGCTTTGTTGCAGCTACTTTACAGCACAACACTGGAAAATTTGGCTTATAAAGCTGAAAATGTTAGTTGGGTAAGGAGGTTTTAAGTAGTGATTTCTCGAGAAACATAGAAACTTAATTCTACGTAGACCAGAAAAGGCTGACAATAGCGAGGGGGACGACTCTATCTACGATGCAGGAAAGATTGTGTTTTGCCATGGCTAGCTGCGCGCACGCTGAGTAGATAGAAAGCAGATTAATGACGGTTTTGAAGATTTCCTGCAAAAAGATGATGCGCGATGCAAATAGATGCGAGAAATTATTGAAGATTTTTCGAAGATTGATTAGCTAGTGTGAGATTTTTTGAGCATCTAGAATTAAGATTTAGATGTGTCGCCCCCCTTGGACGATAGTAGAAGCAAGTGATGTGTACTTTGTTTATTTTTCAAACTTGCTGGAAAAAATACATATAAATTCAAATATGGACCTATTGTTGATTTTACTTACCGGAAAGATCTCTAGCTCTTGCTGTCATATTTTGAAGAATTTCTTTAATATTTCGGGCATTGGTGATTGAATATTTTTTTTTTTACAAATTGGAGAACCAAATACCAACCTCAAAATGACAGCCAAAAGTTGAGTTTAACCGTATGGAATTCGCAAATCTGTTCGGTATTTTTGCAAAAATCCAGCAAATCACATCCGTTTGTTAAGTAAAACATCATTTTTACTGTACATTTGTCTTACTTTTTTACAGTACTGTGGAATCCCAGTAATTTACAGTTTTGTTCAGCATATTTTTTACAGTATTCGGCAATTTCTGTAATTTACGGAAATTCAGCTTTTTAGATATGGAAATTGGTAAAACAAATATTTTACAAAACCTTCATTATGTTCGTTCCGTAAACGAATTCAGCAGAAAAAGTATCGATCATCATTAAAGAAATTTAGTGTGTATGTATACAACTAAAAATCTGAAAAGAGATCAATTTTCCTATATTATAGTCAATTGAGTAGCCCTTAAGTTTGCTACTAACATAGCATCAACCGGATTTTATTAAAATAATTTGTTCGAAAAATAAATGCATTTTATGATTGCACTGGAATACCCGCCTCACCGTGCAATATTTTGAAATTATCATCACTTTCATAGCTTTTCAATTCTCCACGCCAATCAATCGTTTGTAATTCTTCAGAATATTTATAATTTCAGCGCTAAAAATTTCAAATGTTCATTTTACCCCTGAGTTCCACTGCTCCCAAAGCCTTCCATCATCAGAGAGAAGACAGGCACTATCAAATAAACCCACGTCCGTCCCTTGTATCCCGAATGTAAACAACGACATTTTCCTCCTCCATGAATGAAATTTACGCACTCGCACAACTCCCGGAAAACCGCGTAGTGGCCCACTTTAAAAAGCAAACTCATTTTAATGGCTTTGGCCGTTAAATTTTACGAGTACCCGGATCAGATCCTCCTTTTCCTCATTCCAGTTTTTTGTTTTCACTGTTTCTGGCAGTTGTGGTGAAATGTTTTCATTTTTCTTAAGTCATGGGGCTCCGGCGGCGGCGACGGTGATAACGCGAATGGGCAGAATTATCCTTCCGGTGATGCTGGTCTGCTACTCGGTCGGGAGCTACTCTGCATGACCGCGAGCAAAAGCAAGGTGTCAAATGAAGGCAATTTCTTTCGCGGGCGTCATCATCGTGGGTTGGTGAGGGGATGGAGGTGCAGAATGATACTGCCTTTAGCTATGATATTTTGCTGATTTATGAGACAGCAAAGTAGCAAGTTTTTTTTCTTCACAAATTAGCTTATTTACAGGACCGATAATGGAGAAACATGAGAGGGATTAAATGTGAAGGGAGTCATTTTCCGATTATGAGGTTAGCTGAGCTTTGACGGGTCGGCAAAGAGAGTCTTGCTGCGGTTTTTGTCGGATGATTTGCTGATTTTGTCTTTCTGGTCTCTATTTTCAGACTGATGTAACAATTCTTGTTCGTTGTGCAGCAATCAAGTTATTTTGGTAAGTATCAAGCTAAGTTTATTTAAAATGTGATGGAAATATGCTGCGAGAATTTTTTTATGTTCCTCTAAAAAAAGAAAACAATTGTATATAATAAAAATAGTTAAATCTGTACGACCAGTAGAAGACGGTGATAAATACATAATGGTCGGAACAAAGCACTGGCGCAGCGCAGGTTAAGGGCTCAATTCCCCAGAGCCTTGAGGTAAATATAAAATTGTCGAAATGTTGATCAACTTTAACAGTTTTTCATATGTACAGAACGTGAATCGGTTTTAATGATTTTTGCTATGGCCCACTTTTCGTTAAATCCTGTAGTATGAAAAACATCGATGACACGTTTTTATGCTCCCAATGAAAGTAGAAGTATCAAAATGCAGGGAAAAATGTTTTCTGTTAAATCGTGGAGATTTTGCATTATTTTTTTGTATTTAATTCATTATAACAAGCATTCCATGGGATGATTTGAGCCGAAGGAAAATCAATTATGAACTTTTATACAACTAAATTCCATGGAGCAGCGTTTCTTGAAGTTTGAGTGCGCTTTGAGTATCATTCGAGAATGGATGTGTTTTTGCTCCGCTGTGTGCTTTTATTTTGTTTTATTTATTTATTTTTTGAGTCCGGCCTGCCTTTGTGCATTTTGTTGGTTTTGTGTCCCGGGTGCGATGATTTGATTTGGAAAAGGCTAGTGCAGCTGTTTTCCTCCTGTTGCTTGGGTACTTGGTGTGCTCTCGCTTCTAGCATTCTATGGTCATCCCTATAAAGTCCTGTGGTCATGCCATCGAAGTTCATGCCAATTGAGATAAATGACTGACAAGAATATCCGAGGAAAAACACAGGCGACAGTGTGAAAATTTCCGTCCCGAAGATGCTCGGCAAGACCGGGATTCAAATCTGGCCACTTCCTATGATAAGCTTGTTTTCTACTTTATTGTCCATTTTGACGTAGAACTACGTCTTTGTCGACTATACTGGGGTGCAAATCAAAAAATATATGTGGTGAAATAATGTTAGGTTTTGAACGCTTGTAACTTTGTCATTTATATATGAAATTAAAATCCAAATACGCCAATCGATAGGATATTACATTACAAACCTGCTGAAATACATATTTTTTTTTCCAATTTTCCGTAATTAACTTTTGAAAAATGTACTAATGATAATTTTTCCCCAAACCCAGTCATCATAATCGAGTACTACTCATTACCGCTTCGTACGGCGTAGCGCTTGGTCCTGCAGTAAGCAGGAGCAAGTCAGTGGTTAAAGGTGACTTGGGTCCCGTTCAACTAAGGGGCTGTTCATTAACTACTAGGGGGCAAGAATCCCAAAAAATTGTCTACGTAGTTAATTAACAGCCCCTAATACGAAACGCGGAAAAGTTATTTATGCAAAACACCCCCTCCCCTATAACGACAACCTGAAAAAACATGGACTTTAACGATCACTTTTTTCCGGGAAGTAAATGTTAAGCAAACTACAATGTAGTCAATTCCGTTAATTTTTTTACCCAACTACTGCATAGAGAGCTTAAAATTTGAGAAAAAAATCGCTCGCAATATTTTGATGCTATTCTGTGGGTGACTGTAAAACATATCTGGTACCTCTATATATGCAATTAGATAAAAATCCGAAGTATGCAATTAGATAAAAATCTGAAATCCAAAAAGATACTTTCTGCCCCGCCCCATTAATAAAAAACGGTGGGAAATCCTGTGAGAGGCGGGGCTTAGAAAGTATGTATCGTGCAAAAGATGTAAAGAAGGAGGGACGTCGGATGTTAACCCAAATGCATATACCGTGCATCACAGAGAAAGAAGCTCTATCTACTGTTTCCAATTAGATCAATCACTCACGAATGCTAACCCGCGTTTTAATAAAATCCTATTTTGGGATAACTGTTCATTCTTTAGTATTTTCAGAAACTAGAAAGTTAGACTTTTTCACCAAACACACATTTTCCATGTCCATATGTAATATTCAAAGAAAAAAACACGGCATACATTTAGACGCAGTGCGAAAATGACATGAGTAGGTCCAACCAAAATCCATTACCATACACCGGTACAACTTGAAACGCGTGGGAAAGTTCAAACGGTAGATGTATCTCTTAGCGGAAGTGAATAATCACTGAGATTATTTCTAATATAGTTTGCGGTAGTACACAATGCCTCTCAAAAATAATTACAGTAAATATTCACTTTTACTAAGAGATACATGTGCTGTTTCAACTTGCACCGGTGTACCTTAACTATGATGTTTACTATCAAAACATTAAATAGGTGGAGGTGTATACGAGCTTTTGCTCGGACTTTGAAATTCAAAAGCTGAACCCCCTAATTTTCAATTAATGTTTTACTAAGCACCTACTTATTGGAAACCAATCGTTTAATTTGAGAAAAGTCTCAGTATTCTATTTTGCAATCATTCTACTAACACGCCGTAAAATACATAATGATGATGCATGGCAATTACGTTAGTTATGTTAGGGTTTTCCTCAAAATTGGAGAACAAAGTGCTTAAGCCCCGTATGATCGTTATACCCCTTCTTCCCCTACTTCGTTGACATATGAACCAACATTTTGTTCAATATTTAATGTACCGTCTCCTGACAGGCAAAATAACTACCTGTTTCGTTATCATAAAATGCAATCTTCATTTTCTTCTCTGCTTCAGAAACCTAATATAAAACTAATGATGGAGCTACTGAAAAAAAATTATGTGTTTTTCGGCAATTGTTTCATCCCACAACATACAAGGCGTTTTTTGTGTACCGTGCCTGCACCATATTTGACGCGTTCCTAATGATGACGTGTCGTCTATTTTTGATCGAATCTCGATTTTGACAAGATATTTTTTTTAAATCTTGTTACACCATTATCCCTGAGCACTAAAATTAATATTTACAACATTTCAAAAATAATTATTGAAAATAGTCGAGCATTATCGAGTGCGTCGATTTAAGAACCGCTTCGAAGATGGTGCCTCCACGGTACTATACTGAGGTGCAAATCAACAAAAAATGTGTGGAGAAATAGTGTCAGTTCCTATTGTAGTCGATGTCGATGTAAAATTTAGTGTACATTGATCACAGCACAATAGCTCAACATTGATCAACCCAAGGGAGTTATGTAGGGAAAATTTAGTCAATTCTTAACCATTGCATTAAATTTAAAGACATTATCTCATGCGTAAGATGAACCGTGGTCCGATTATGCTAACATGAATTGTCGCGAGTTTTGAATAATAACCCAAACATTGAAATACTTGAAAAATTTAAGATAAAGTATAATAATCAAAAATGCATGACATACATCAATTTTGCGTAGTTCTACGTCATATTGCAGTCGTGTCTAGCACACAACCCCTTAATTTTTTCCTTTATTTAACGTCGGTCTCTGTCCCACGATCTAGTGCCTATCAACGACGGACATCGATTGCCATCCATTGACGGCAATCGAATGTGCAGGAAGGCAGCTTCCACACCTGCGTAGGATATCGCACCCATTCAAACACACATGGGCCGGAACCAACGGCTTTACTTCCCTTGCAAAGAAAAACGTGACCAGAGATTTTTATGCCTCAGAAAAATCCCACTGACCTCGGCTGGGATTGAACCCAGACCCATTGGGGTGAGAAAGCAATCACGCTTACCACTACACCACCGGCGCCGGTTAATCGTCCATTCTGCATAGTAAAATTGTTAATGTACCTCAACTCTTATAGAAGATCCTGCTCTGATCCTTCGTTGTACGCTTCGTATAAAATACTCGTCCATTAATTATGTCATACATTTAGGGGGGGTCTGAGTTTTGAAAACTGTGACGAGCCATACAAAAAAAAATTAAGGTCCATACAAAAAATGTGACAAAGGGGGGAGGGGGGGGGGGTTGAAAATAAGCCAAATTTGCGTGTCATAATTAATGGATCATCCCTAAGTTTAAAACTAAGAACTGTATTGTGGAATAACGCCTCCAATGGGTGACCTTTGGGTAAACCATGAGGAAAGTTTGCGATATTTTACGAAGTTCATCAAGTAAATCGCGAATCGTATTGAGTTTTGGTTAACTTTCCAATACTGAATGTAAGGATTTATCAAGCTCGATGCTCATAGTTCCTTCGTAGTTCTTTTCGTACGAATAACAGCATAGCGTAGGTGTTCCACCATTCCCGTCGTATACTTGGGATCCATTTGCTTAATATTGATGAAATTATTGGTGTAGCCAACCGAGTTTACTCATTAATGAGTAAACATTAACGAATACTTCAAAAAATGGGTATTTTGTTTTTTCTGCCCTTGGGTAAAAAGTACTCTTTTTTAATGTTTGCTTCATGAAACTGCCTGTTATTAAATTTTAAATATGTTAAACTAATTAAAAAGCTAAAATTGTAAAATGTTTTCATAATTTTTATTGAACCAGAATCAATATTAAACGGATCCAAATATGTATTGCTATGTCTTAAACATTCATTGACCAAACGAGGCATTAAGTAGTGCTTCCGTAAGATCGTTTTCCTCATATGATCACTGCAGGAATCAATCCGATGATGGATGCTGCTAATCGAAAACGTTAAGATAATTGAGCATGTCGTTTTCCTTCTCAAAGATCTCCGCTGATCTGGAACAGGAACACTTGTTAGAATTTCAGCATGGTTTCATGTCTTTTCCTTACCTCGTAATAATTGGAACTACCGTCCAAAGCACTATTTTACTGTGCTAATTTTTAGCCTTAATGAACATCGGCCGAAAGGAATTCACTGGCTCAATCACATCTACGTTGTGTGATCTTATAATATTTAACAGCACTAGTCGGAGCATTTTTACCGAGAATCTCATCGAGAATTTCGACCGATTTGCAAGAATGACAACACATTTCGCAACCTGAATACTCCGTGCTTTTATGTTTTCAGTTCATCAGACTGTTGACAATGATTATTATTGTTACTCATTTTTTCTGCCTTAAGATATTTTCAAAAATGAAGAAAAAATACCCTTTTTA